GTCCACTGTCTGATGCTGGTAATCATGACAACTACTATTGCAGACGGCTTAGCACTAGGTGCGTTATACTAAGTCACCCTAAAAACAAGCCAAAGTTTCGACGAGGTCAACCCACTTCAACAATTCATATACTTTAGCTAAGTACGATATCTCAGATGAAATCGCTATCCTGTGGTGCTAAAATACTATGAGTGGACCTTCCCACAGAAAGTGCATCTAAAACATCATCTTAAACCGTAACATATTTTTATGAAGACTTAGAGGAACGCACCTTGTCCGAAATCCATTGTATGCATAATCATTTTTAAAGTCGGACCGAGGACGTGGAACATTCCCAGACGCTTCGCCGGCATCGTAGTCGGCATCGTCAGTGAGTTTCGTCATTCGTAGCACCATATCACAACTCGTCAAAGAGACAAGTGAAGCCCATCCTTTGACCAAACGTGTGCTATTCACATTTTCTATATCCTCCCATCACGCCTTCACTGTCATAATTTTTTACTTGCTTATTTAAATGTGGTAGGGTGTGCCCTTTCGAGCGGCTTTCATTAGAACCCTCCGCACTCCACGCTGGCCTTCTCACCCTCCTTCATGCTTGTGCTGGGAATGTTGACCAGAGTCTGTCATATTGTTACGTAGTCCTCCCCTGGGTCCTATCAAAGTCTCTCTCTTGCTCCGTCGAATCCGTCTGCTACCGCCCTGGTACATATATTTCACTCGACCCCTGCCCCGCCTTCCTTTTCTGTGCTATTCGAGGCGTAATTAACCCCATCCTGCGTCTGGGTGACTAATTCGAGGCTAAAGCCTCGAAGTAAGTCTCATGGTCATGACTTTCCTACATGTACCACGTCTCTTGTAAAACCTACTGTCAATCAACTAGCTCCAATCGCCGCCTCTTCTATCCTGTCTCTATCTCTTATACCAAGTCTATGACTTGACATGCCCTAGTTGCTTGTGTGCCAACCCACAAATGTTGTGGTACTGCTGGCTTTGATTAGGTTTAATGTTAAACTACAACGTTTGTGGGTTGGCACACAAGAGACTAGGGCATAGCAAGTCATAGACATGGTATTATAGATAGAAAGAAGATAGAAACAGTGGAAGCTAGAGCTAGTTGGCTAACAATAGTCGTGAGTCAAGGATCCCTTCTATGATCAAACACCATTATTTTAGCCAAATAGCTTAGTCTCCACAGCGTATTTCCTATTTCTATCTGTGATACCATGTCCATCACTTCCTACGTCCTAGTTTTTTGTGTGCTAACCCACAAATGTCGTGGTTCTACTTGTTTTGATTAGGCTCACTCTTGGCTTCTTATTGTTCCTTTCTCATCCCCCTGCGATCGCTTTTCCCAAAATTAAGGATTTTAATTTGATCCAGTCATCTTCTTTTTGCTGATCTTTCTGTTGTCTGGTCTTCTTCGAGTTTGTTTAGGCAATATGCAAAGTTTTCGCTGATCATGCCTTCTTCAAGTTTCCTGTTCATTAGATCTCTCTTGGTCAGTATTTCGATGGCCTCTCGGATCTTGCATTTCCTCGTATTTTCACCACATGCAGCCAACCTTTCGGTCGATTTCGTTCCCCGTTCGCGCAATGTGTTTAGCTATTTCGGATCTGTTAGTATCCATGTTCCTGCAGAATCTTTGATGTTCCTTGATTCGTAGGCCGATTTTTCTTCCTGTCTCACCAATATACTTCTGCTCACAGTTTCCGCATTTGATACGATAAACTCCCGAGCAATCAAGTTTATTGGTCCTATCGTGTTGCATCGGCAGAATTCCCTTAGTAACTGTAGCAATTGTTGGCTCAGTTCTGATGAGGGCAGGCAAATCCACTTTTGGTCGCCCTCCTGATTCATGGTCTGATTTTCATAAAATCAAAGTTGAAATCGGCCCTTTATCACCTCTACATTTTTCTCTATAAATTCTCTGGGGTATCCATTACTTAGACAAATCCGTGTCAGTTTGTCCAACTCCTCGTCCCATAACTCTTTGTCCGTTAGTCGTAAGCTTCTGATGTTCAAACTCCTCAGTATTCCTATCTTAAATTTGTAGTTATGATGAGACTGAAAATTAAGGATTATTCCCGCTTACGAATTCTTTCTGTATAGTCTCCTCATGAGTGTCCCCTTGGATCGTATGACTACAATATCCAGAAAGGGTAGCCGTTCATCCTCCTCCACCTCCATTGTGAATTTAATTCTTTCGTCAAGTTGTTTAATAAAATTGAAGAATTTATTTAGATTTTTCTTACCATGTGACCAAAGTGCAAAGTAGTCATCCAAGTATCACATGAGCCCTCTTGGTTGCAGTGATGACTTCTCGAATTCCCTTTCCAACTTGTCCATGTACACATTTGCCAAGAGGTGAGAGTGGATATTCCATCGGTAGTCCAAATATTTGCTCGTAGATATTGCCATTAAGTGTAAAACATGTCGTCCTTATTGTCAGGTTGATTAGTCGTGTTAACGATTCTTTCCGTATCCGTTCTGCCTCCAGAATGTCCTCTTCTCGCTCCAATATCTCCAGCAAGGCGCTTACCGCCTTCTCGCCTGAGATGTTTGTGTACATGGATTGTACATAGAAACTAACCAACAGTTCCGACCCCACCAACCCAATGTTTTGGATCCTTTGAGAAAATTCATATGGATTCTTGACGGTATTCAAGAGTCTGTCATTTACTTTCTTGAGCTTCAAGCAAATGAATTTCGCTAGTTTG